CTTCCCATTTCGCCCCTTCCCACTTTGCCCCTTCCCATTTCGCCCCTCATTTATTCCCATTTGGCCCCTTCCCATTTTGCCCCTTTCCCAAATTGCCCCTTTCCCATTTCGCCCCTCTTCCATTTCGCCCCCGTCCCATTATGCCCCCTTCCCATTTCGCCCCTCATTTATTCCCATTTCGCCCCTTCCCAATTGGCCCCTTTCCCATTTCGCCCCTCGTTCATTCCCATTTCGCCCCTTCCCAAAATGGGAAATTGCGAAATGGGAAGGGGCCAATTGGGAAGGGGCAAAATGAGAATAAATGAGGGGCGAAATGGGAAAGGGGCAAAATGGGACTGAATGAGGGGCAAAATGGGAAGGGGTGAAATGGGAAGGGGCGAAATGGAGAAGGGGCTATGAAAAATTAACCCAGTAATAGTATTCAATGGCAATTTAAACTAGAACTTGCGTCGTCATTTTAAGATTGCCTCACATTTTATGTTTGCTTCTCCATTTTCATTTTGCCTCACCAATGTTTGAATGACGCATCTGTTATTAAAACGCTGTTCTAATAATCGTGTAATGCGCCTTAGTGCAATTCAAGTTACTATGACAATGAATGAAAACAGCGTTAAATTATTATTCAAACATGACCGTGCTCTATTCGAATTTCTCAACCAATCAGAATGCAGCATAGCCAATATAGAACGTTCTCTAATTCTCCATAGATGCACGACCATGCTCTATTCAATCTGCAATTTGCATTGTTTTGAGTGACGTCACATCTCAGCTGCACATCTGGGGCTCTGTCCGGGGATAGCTGTTCTTTTTTACTCCCTCCGTAACTACTGTAACTATTTAACTATGGCTGACTTCAAGTTTGCAGTCGCATACACCGTATAAAATCTAAAACGGGGAGTAAAATAGAACAGCCCAAACAAATTCTAAAATTTTTCCGGCCGACTTCAGAATCTTGACAGCATGCGTATTCTTCCTTCATGCCCGTTCCACAGACACGGCTTTTACTAATTTTTATGTTTGAATCGGAATAAATAATGATAGGCCATTCAATATGGTGAAATTCAGCACTCGTTGGACAGAATGTTAGTACAAATGCACTCACCTTCGGTTCGTGCTTTGTACAACATTCTGTCCAACTCGTGCTGAATTTCACCATATTGAATGGCCTATCATTATTTATTCCTTAAATAAAGAACTACACTTAGCGAAATTGAAACCAATATGAGATCATAATATAACCACGCCTAACCATCGACAACGTACAGTGACAAAATATACGGGTGTACACTTAAGCTTTTTGAAGCAAAAATTGTGATGCAGGTTTAAAACGTTTTTATCTAAGGTATATCATGAAGTATATTATGTTTAATTTCATGTGCATGCTCTTGGCAAGACTTTTAACTTTTTAATTACGTTAACAGATTCTCAAACAAAACACGACTTTTTTCTAGGTAATTCCACCCATGTCAATGTGAACATTTTCCAACCAATTACCTCGAAAATATTCCTGCACTGCTCGAGAATCTATAAACGTAATCAGAAAGTTAAAGTCTTGTCAAGAGCATTAAACCTGATATACTACTTTATATTCCTTAATAAATCTTACAAAACCTACATCACAGTTTCTGCTTCAAAAATGACAACGTACAACTAAGGTGTACAACCGTACATTTTGTCACTATTCGTTGTCGATGGTTAGGCGTGATAATATACTATTACAGTGACTATCACAGTAAATCATGAGCATGGAATGTGTTTAAGCTTGTATTCGCGAATACAAGGTATATATCGCCTTTCGGCTACCGGATTAACCTACTATTTTATGGAAAACTCATTTAGATATGAGTGGAATAGTGGTATCCGACAGGCGTTAGTTGCATTCGCGAATACAAGCTTAGCTTCTAAAAACTGTAAAAGGCCACACCACCAATGCTTCCCAAAACCACGTCCTCAGCTTTGGCAACAATTCAGACAGGTTGCCATTGACGACTTGAAAAGCAATAACTATTTCCCCTACCATACAAAAAGATCTAAAAGATCCATGATATAAACGTATTATGCTCGTTTATAATGTTATGTACATGGACTATAACGAATATTTTATACAATTGATTTGGCAAACTGACGAATTCCTTATTCAGTTAACGCTAATATAGTAGCCTTCACTTTTAAGAGTTGAGTCACCACATTTTGCATGCATATTCCTTGCAGAAATCCTAACATAGAATTTTATTGGTTTTGATTATAACTTATTTGTTGAAAATAGAGACACATTTGATTCTGATTGGTCTATAATCAAAATTTGCCATTTTCAACGACAAATGCATTATTTTAACTTTATATAAAAAATCACTACTTTTGGTGTAATAATTCCAAATTGACCACATGTTTCCTTTTTCAGCAGAAGTGTAACTATTTTGGGGTAATTGAGACATATCCGAGAAAAATGGTATGCAGAAACATGATATTTGAAATACAACGGGGCCAAAAAGGACCCCTGAAGATGGCTGCACAATTTGAGATTTTTTGCGTGTTTTAATTTCCTGAAAAATGGATGGGGTGGGGGAGTGGCATACCCCTTGGGCTTATTCCAGTAACCATTTTAATCAAATGAATGATAACATATTTGGTATCATCTTAAAGCTTGTAATGTGTGCGTTAATTTGGTACCCGTATTATGACGTCGGATGCTATATTGTGACGTCACAGTAGTAACAAACGATCTTAAAGGGGAAATTAAGCACCAAAATGCGGCAAAATAATGGTGTGACTCCACCACTGTTTTGCCAATTCACTGCTTGCCACAATTAATGAATGCATTTCTTATTGGGTTACTCTTCCAATGCATGATCTGATGACTAGCAAAAAATATCTAGGATGATAGTTATTGTCAATAAGATTAGAGACACCATATTGTATCTATCATGTATAACTTCAATTTTTATTAATGACGTCAAAATGTTGCATTTGTTACACAAAATGGATAATTCTGATTATGGACCAATACAAATCAAATGTTTCTCTATTTTTAACAAATAAATTATAATCGAAACCAATAAAATTCATGCATGCAAAATATGATGACTTAACTCTTAAAAGTGAAGAAATGAGAGTAAAAATACAGACTTGGGACTTGTGTTGTCTCGGCTACTAATGACGTCATATTGAGGGAACACCAAGAAGTATTAGCAGCCATTATATTCAAACTCGATACTCCGTTGCCTTCGGTGGAACAATTTAATAAAAATATTTCTGTAAACAGGCCCGTAGCCAGGGGGGGGGTTCGCAGGGTTCGGGCGAACCCCCCCCCCCCCCTGGCCAAAAATTCTTTCAAAATCATGCAGTTTTTGACCATTTTGAGCACTTCTCAAGTGATTTTAGCCTAATTTGGGCCAAAATTGTCAAATGTGAACCCCCCCCTGGAAATTTTTGAAAATTGAACCCCCCCTTGGCAAATCCTGGCTACGGGCCTGGTAAAGTTCTCTATTTCGTTGAAAGATGGTCATTACGAATATTATGCAATTCTTCAAGATATGAGTAATATTGTTACCAAATTGGTCCACGCCGGGCAACGGAGTATCGAGTTTGACTAACGGCTTCAAATCCTCCTTGGAGAATACTTTTAGGTACAGACAAAACTTTCACGAAAATCTTCAATGAGGTTTTGCTTTCAGAATTATTTTACTATATTCTTTCGACTGATCGACCGACTTACTTGGTAATAATATACCTATTACTGTTCATCTACTGGCTAAGAATTTAATCGTGAAATAATTAGCCTAATTAATTATAGGTATTGTTATTACCAAAATGGCCACTGCCTGTCAAAAGAACGTTTATTGTAAAGTTATGCTGGGGGTTGATCACTGACGTCTAAGATTTCAAAAATGACGATTGACTGAGACTTTCGTAAAATTTTGCTAAAGCGTCATCATATTCAAGGTTGCAACAACTGATTAGGAGTCTCTGTTAATAATCCCCTGGGGGTCATTAACAGAAATATCGTAAAGTTATTAATTCGTAAATCAATTGTTGTAATCATGGATATAATGACGTCACAGTTAGAGAACAGTGTATTTTACGAATTCCTAATTCTTATCTGAAAAATAAAGCAGAAAGTCAAAAATAAATAAACACTTCTCTCATGGTATGAAGCCCTAATTTTCTCCATATAGGCCTACTGTCACGGGGACCATCCAGTCCCCGCTGACATTACAAGCAATAAGCTCATGTTAAAAGCGGAGCCTTGAGAGATATGATAAAATTGAAATATAACATTTTCTATGGAACTTTAGGAAGTGAAACTCAATGCAACTTTATTTCAGAGTACAACGGCTATTTCAATTGCAGGGCAACGACTTTCTTCAGCTATAACTATATTGTATCCTATTTCGCAAGGCCCCGCTTCTGGCATGAGCTCATAGCTCGTGATGTCAGCGGGAACTTGCTCGCGATATACGGGGCCTGAATAGTCACCGTGTGCTGTGTCGCACAATATAGTTGGTTTATTCCAGTAATCCTACATTTATAACCCCCCCCCCCCAGTTTGCTAACTAGAATTTCTCATTAGAAAGTATATCACTGCTTATCAATGTTATAATTTTGATTTGATTCGTTGAGCACTTATTTTATGACGTACTCATTTACCATAATTTGAAATTGTATGACTTTTTAAAATTGCCAAACATAATCAGCCCTTTGATAAGTGTTCCAAATAGGACTTTCGGTGTCTAAACGTATAGAAGGGAGTGTGCCTGAGCAATTTTTCTAGTGTTCATAATTTCAGAAAATAAGGTTCGGAACAAAGTCTTCTTTGATGGTTCAATTTACAGGTAAAATTCTGATGTTCAAATTCAATTGAGAGATATCGATACAAAGGTACTCCAGGGGGTACCACTGCCACCAATCTTATCTTTCCTTAGATAAAAACAAAATATGATAAGATTGGGTTATGCGACGCAAAAATATTAGAGCTACTTTCTAATTCTGATTATCTACTTTTATGGAGGTGAATAGTTCCTAATTGTTTTGAATTCTAAACCTTTATCAAAATCTTTTCGCACAAAAACTACATCATTCGCTGTCCAATCACCTCTAGTTACAGTTCCCTTATGTACATAGTTAAATTGTTTTAAATAATCTACTATATCAGCTTTTGGGTCACCCTGTCCGTGCACAAATTCCACTGTGAGAGCTTTAATAGTAAGTTTATCGAACGGAATAGTTTTTAAAATAGGTAGTTCGGATCCTTCGACGTCTAGCGAGAAGAAATCGATGACGGTTCTATTCAATGCCAACATAAATGAGTATAGTGTAAAGCAATCAACCTGGAAAAAAGAAAAAACGCATTTATTTATTATTATTTATTATCCATTAGTTTGGCAAGCGTAAGAGGGGGAGCAACCCCAGGGTTCAAAGATGACATACGCTTATAATGTAAATCTGTATTGAGATGACATCTTTGCTGATTGGTTTAGCGAGTCGATCGTTGATTGGTTTAAAACTAGGTCAATTTGAAAACTTTGAAAACCAAGATGGAGGCTAATTACTTCCGGGAAAGGAGGTGCGCGAAGGAGGAAATCGTATGTCATCAATTGAATCATGGGGTTTTCCCTCCTCTTTGCAATCGTGGTCCGACTACCGATTACCAAACTTTTAAGGGCGAGTGTATATGTAAATGGTTACACATGGGAGCAACAAAATTTGACAGCTAGTAATTTAGAAATTAGACAGGAGCTGACTTTTACATGCTATCTAATGGCAATTTTTATCAAATCAATTATCATTTCGAACGTAACATGAAACATGAGAAAAATAAGTTCAAGTAGTATAGAAATATTGACTTCTTTTGTGTGCTATTTTGAATTCAACAGTCATTATCCTTCTTGGGTAGAGTCTATGTCAAAAGGCATTAACATATAAAATTTAGTAGCTACATTGGAAATTCCATTTCGAACAGGGGCTCTGTCCCCATTAGGCATCATCCTTTATCCCCAATCCCCTAACAGGTATTTGAGTTATTGCCCGGACAGAAGAACGAACAAAAGAATAAACAAAGGGACGGACGGCTTCTCCACATCCCTCTCGAAGTACGTTTGGTGGGATATTAAACAAGCTCATGCATTGAACCATTGTCGGTAGAGATAAATCGATAAAAATTACTTTAACATGCACTGGTAATTTACACCGCAATTGCAACATATTATCTCGTTTTAAATCCTCAATTATCATTTATCCTCATATCATAAATTCAGTGGTATTGCAAAATGTTTGACATTATTAACAATTGTATTGTTATCTCTCATTTGCGCTTACATCATATATCAAACACAATATATGAGGTAGGCAAAATGTTCCGAGTTTTTCAAAACATTTATCTTTGCTATAGCTAATACATTAAAAACCGCGAATGTTACGACAAGTAATTTAAGACAGTCATATCTTAAACTATGAGTACTTTCTGAACATAATTACAACTTCCTAAATAGTTGAAACAATTGGTTTCTTCTTGTACAAGACCCTTGGATGACATCATGATGTTTTAATCGCCAATGCCGTGGCCCTAATTCATCCACTGAATTATCAAATTATCGGTCAGATAATACATGTATAAAGATATGACTGTAACCCCCCTATCACGCGAAACTAGTTTTCAACCGTTCTTTCCAGTCCTACGAAAAAGTCGTGAAACGGGCTATATCTGGCTGTAGTCGTGAAATATTTTTTAAATACTAATAATTAGCTACTTCTTTCATAAATAGTTTTAAATACGTCCATCTCATTCGCAGTTCGTTCAAATCGCACCATGTCGGTGTGCACACGTATTGCAATCGATATCCGATTGCACAACGTCGTATAACGCGTCTCTAGTAGGGTTGAAGTGCGGCAATTACGTTCCTGGTCTAGTAGGTCATCCCGTTTGAAGTACATTGTCAGAGTGAGACGATCTGATAACAGAACGCCCGTGTAGCCATCGAATTTTGAATTGATTCAAAATTCTCAATCACCTTCACTGTCCGGGCAAGTTCATGAAGTTCGTAAATAGACCGGAGACGTTGTAGTTACGTTCATCCAGTTCGCAGACAGTTTAAAACCAGTTCGGAAACGTTTTAAAGAACGCAGTGACAACTTGTTTGGTGTGACAGCTGTTTTTGTTAACGAATTCATTCATAAGCTGCAAACGGTGTACTCACGACTGCAATTTACGCCTGACTACACAACGTCGTAATACGTCCCAAGTAGGATTGAAATACGACAGTTCAGTTCACAGTGTGTCCCCAGTGCGTCCATGTCTTCTTAAGAACGTTGTCACTCGTTCTTATTGCAGAACGTGACGTCACCAGAAACGTCACCAGAAATTTTTGAGCATGCTCTAAGTTCTGGATGACCTACTCGTTCGGGTAATTTGATAAAGTTTGTAAACAGACCCCAAACGGTTTTTAGTACGTAAAATCCGTGCACAGTTTAAGTCCGTTTTCGAGGACGCGGTGAGAACTAGTTTGGTACTTTGTTATCATTTCTTCTATATTGGTATGGAATCTCGTTCTAATGAGATTAAAAAAGATTTGCTTTTTAACCACTATAAACTTTTTTTTATTTATTTGGTGACATTTGAATTTTGTGTGTAATTTTCTTATACTTTGCTTTGTTATTTTGCAATATTTAATTTCAAAGGATTTTTAAGTTTTCCGAAAAGGTCGGGCTAAATCTTTATTGACACAATGATAAAAACTTTGAAACTCCAGGCAGATATAGTTTTGAAACTCATAATATTTGAAATAGTACTCAAAGAAGGATTTAAAAACAGAGAGAGAGAGAGATCAATAACGTACACTCCCTCCCAAAAGTTTGGCAACACAACAAAAATAGTGCAAGTGTCAAATATTTGGTGATTTGAAAAATTCCCGAAAACTGTAATCAATCGGACCTAATGCAGATGTTGAAAATTTAAAAATCTAACATAAACATGTTTAACGGGCTATCCAATTCGGGTACGAGGATGCCAAACCTTTTGAGGAGAGTGTAGGACAAATGATCTGGAAAACAGGTGAATATGTGCATAATTTCTGCCGGTTTAGTCTTCTTAAGGAGGATTGGCTCCAATGGTTTCAACTCAATATTTAGAGGTTATGTCACTATGACGTGAAATATGCCTGAGTTCTCCCAATATAGGCCGACCTTGGGAGGCTCTATATTTGGGCAAGAACGAAGGCATATTTCACGTCATAGTGACATAACTGATGTATTACATGCCTTTGTTCCCATGGTTACTTTGTATCAATGACGTGACGTCATGATATTATCATGGTTATTAAAGAAATCTAAAATCAAAACGAGGTAAGCGGGCTATATCGGGGTAATCGGGCAATATTTAGAGGTTATGTCACTATGACGTGAAATATGCCTGAGTTCTCCCAATATAGGCCGACCTTGGGAGGCTCTATATTTGGGCAAGAACGAAGGCATATTTCACGTCATAGTGACATAACTGATGTATTACATGCCTTTGTTCCCATGGTTACTTTGTATCAATGACGTGACGTCATAATATTATCATGGTTATTTTAAGAAATCTAATATCAAAACGAGGTAAGCGGGCTATATCGGGGTAATCGGGCAATATCGGTGGATATAGCTCGCTAACTTTCCCATTGACTTCCATACAAATGCTTCGCTAGGTATGTAATACTCTGCCATATATACACACCCCATTCTATTATACGTCGTAACACCGGAAGCTTACGACGAATACTGAATATTTTCGGCGGGAGATTAGTAAGTACTCATTTATTTCGACGTTTTGACAGAATATGGTTCTTTCCCTTTCGTGGAAACATTGACCATACCAGGCAGATATACCTCTATTATCACATTGTAGAATTCAAATTAAACAGTCGCCATTTTTTCACTTCAGAATTTGAATCACGAGTCATGATCAAAATATTATTTCAAATATTCTGGATCGCTAAATAGGAATTTATTGGCCATTGCTGTCGCCGATATTGCTAGAATATTGTACATTTCCCCCGCAGTTCATTCGAACGTTCTTTGCAGTAGATTCAGCACTTCATGAAGTGCAATTGCTTGGAGATTGAAATATCGAGTTGGAACCCTCGGATACAATCCTCCCCGTTGACAGTTCCTACATATAACTAATAAGAATGATATGATATATAAAGGAAGTTTTCACAACGTGTGTACAATATTAATTAAAAACCTCATAATATCACGAATCAATAAAATGTAAAACAAAATAACCACAATTGCTTACAACATCTGTTTATATATTGCCTTGCCTTTTATAACTTACCTGCAGTACGGCTTTTGATATACTTTTTCACTTCTTCTTCACCATGCATCACATTTCCCCCACTTACTACCTGTACTACGTCTTTATTGCTTTACTTTTTCACTTGTTCTTCACCATGCATCGTATTGCCCCTTATCATTTACCTGTATGTACTACGTCTTTATTGCTATACTTTTTCACTTGTTCTTCACCATGCATCGTATTGCCCTTTATCATTTATATCTGTAGTACGTATTGATTGCTATACTTTTTCACTTCTTCATTATGCATAATATTGCCCTTTATCACTTACTTGCAGAACGTCTTTATTGCTATACTTTTTCACTTCTTCATTATGCATAATATTGCCCTTTATCACTTACTTGCAGAACGTCTTTACTGCCATACTTTTTCACTTGTTCTTCACCATGCATCGTATTGCCCCTTATCATTTACCTGTATGTACTACGTCTTTATTGCTACACTTTTTCACCTGTTCTTCACCATGCATCGTATTGCCCTTTATCATTTATACCTGTAGTACGTATTGATTGCTATACTTTTTCACTTCTTCTCTACTATGCATCACATTGCCCTTTATCATTTATACCTGTAGTACGTCTTTATTGCTATATTTTTTCACTTCTTCTTCACTATGCATCGCCTTGCCTGTGTTTTTAGATTGTTTGTACTTCAGCTGAAAGTAACAGTACGATGCCAAATGTTCATTGTTGCATGCATTAATGTTTCATGTTTGATTACTTGATGATATTAAAATCTAAACATGTCTTTCTTATTATACGATGAATAAGTTTTTTCAAGTCACATTTTTAATAAATTTCTTAAAAAGTTTTTCAATCTTGGAAACACAATATTCAAATGATTAGACTATGGTTCTGATTACGAACTTCGCACGGGGCCTTTAAATATGTCAAGTATAATATCCAGTTTCAATAATCATTCTCTGAAATATATGTTTGAGTGCTCATAGCGAGTTAATATAACATTTTATGGAGTACTAATACTGCAGTAACAAATTACTGAGATCTTTGAAACTGCTTCACTTACGGTAGAGCAAAGCGAGCGAATATGGGATAATTAAGAAATATAGACTGAAGAGCAGGGGTAATATAATCGAATATACCCCGAAGGGCTACGTAGGCACAAACGTTTTCTGTTTGAAAGCTTTTGTGCCTAGCCTAGGTGTATTCGACGATATTACACCTGCTCTGAGGTCTATATTACGATTCGAACAGGAAAACTCCCCAAAATGTTTCGAATATTCATTATGGTCCGCCATTACTACTGCCCACCGTTATGACGTCACACATTACTCGGGGTATTGTTCGCGAATATACCCCGGGTGAAATGTTGACTTTGTTCACAGCTTATAGAAGGCGTGAATACAGTCATGTTCGGATTCTAAATCGACCTCAATCCAAATGTAGCCAGTTTTAACATTTGCTTGAGACGTTTAGATTTGGACCCCCCCCCCCCCCCTATTGCATTGGAACACATCCTATCTGAACATATTAGAGCTGGTAATAAATGATGAATACAAATGGCAATAATAGGTTGGCAATAATTTATTGACTTTGCATGAGTTTCAGACAAATATAATAACATTGCCTTTTAAACACACATGTGTACATTTGTAATTTCATTTGTGCATGACATTTTAGTTCAGTTGAAAATATTAATATCCGATGCATTTGGACATGACGTGGTTTTTGATTTTGAACGATGCAAGTACGTTGCAGTATATAAACTCAGAAGTGTGCGTGCGCATCGGGAAGAAAAATAAAAAATAAAAAATGTAAGCTGTGATTGTTGGTTGGCATCAATTTGCCGAAATATCATAATTTCATTTATTTTTAAATTCAGTCTGGACAACGGCCTAAAGAAAAATCACTATTACGCAAATCACTATTGAATATAAACCCAAATATATCTTCAAAATTATATTAGAGAAGGAATATTCACTCAATAATTCAATTTAAGCTTTCGTTGACGTCACGAATGTGGCACATCGTTATCCTGATAAAGTTTTCTTGCTAAAATATCATAATTTTATCTATTCATTCTATTATTTTAGATTTGTGATAAAAAATACAAATATGAATGGTATCTAAATGCAAGCTTACGCTTATAATTGATATGTATTGGTTCATAAATGCAGAAAGGCAGTTTCCCTGTCTCTGTTTTAGAATAAAAACAGTGTGCAAAGTTGATATTTAATTAATTAAATGACTAATTTGAGGTATTATTGAGCACTTTTATAATGAATTGATGTCAATAACATATTATGTATTTACTAAAATATAGTATCCTACATTGATGTTTTGCATTATAATTAAATGCTAGTAATTTCACTGTGTAATATGGATATAAAGAGCACTATTTCATTTATTTAGATACAGTTATATACAATGACATTGACATTGTGTGCAGCTTGTTATTAAAATCTGAAATGATGTTAGAAAATTTATGATTTACATACTAATTGAAAAATCAATTTTACTATAATGTTGCTTTTATCAAGCGAATTAATTTAATACACCAACTTAATATATGCTGCTTACTTTAATCAAATTAAGTCAAATTTTGACTTTCCCTGTTGGGATAGAGCTCTTCTCCACTGGCGATCCGCTCGATTACGCTTGTTACCGAAACGGTAACAAAATGTCGGAACGTCGAAGATACGATTTTTCCTTATTTCACACGTTGTAGGTAGAATCCCAACGACTTTTATTCTCACAAACGTGCATCAGTATCATATGTTTTAGAAAATGCACATGTTTGCGAAAAAAATAACTCAGAAGACAACAGAATCGTCGAAATTTAAAGAAAACTGCCTCACTAATTAAGTGACATAAACGGTATGGGTTAAAAGTGCAGATCTTAACTGTTTTTCGAAAAACCGTTTATGTAACTTAAGTGAGAAATTAAATCGACGATTCGGTTGTCTTGTGAACTATGTGTTCGCAAATATGTACATTTTTTAACATATGATACTGATAAACGTTCGTGATAAAAATGTCGTGGGAATTCTGCCTACAACGTGTGAAATAAGTAAAAAAGAAAAATCGTACCTTCGATGTTCCGACATTTTGTTACCGAAACGAACTGTTTCGGTAACCAGCGTAATCGAGTGGATCACCAGTCTTCTCTGTTCCACAACTGGACCTAACTGCATGCAGTATCATTCAAAATGGTGGGACTGATATTTTAGCTATGACAGCCACAAGAAAACGTTCAAACACCCGCGATATTGGAGAAATTTAAAGAAAACTGCCTCACTAATGACGTGGTCACATTTGCTCCGATTTTACTGCGGCGCCCGGCCGATTGAGTATTTTGTTCAAAATTGGATTCTATTTTGAACAAAATACTATCGGGCGGGCGCCGGTGCTGAAAATCGCAGCAAATGTGACCACGGTATTAGAATGACTCCAACTGAACTTGATCATGACGTCGGAATAACACTAACTCTATGGAAAGAATACATGGTCATCTGAGTTAGTGCCATCAATGGTGAATATCATTTTTGAGTGTGTCATCAACTTCAGATTAGAGTCATTTTAAGTGTCTGTTTTTTAAATTCTGTATTAATGCGGGTGTCTGAGCATTTTGTCCTGGCTGTTCACAATTGTTACTTTATTAGTTTCTATGGTGAAACATTTAGAATCCAGATTCAACTAAGTTTAGCTGAAATCGTTGGTTTATCAAAATACGAAAGAATTTTGGCCATCATCTTGAATGATACTAGCTGCAGTTAGAGTCAAGCTGTGCAACAGTGAAGCTTGGCTTCAGAAAGTCCATTTTAATTTTAATTTTGTTTCTCAACTTCTGTCAGTTGGAAACTTATGACAAGGCTGATAAACTTTTTTAATCACAACCAGCTTCCAAATGGGACTTAAGGTCGCCAAACCATTTTGTATGATTGGCAGGTTTATAAAGCACATCAAGACAAAACACGTTGCTTCTAAATCACTGTATTAAGAAAATACATTTTTAGATTTTTAAAACAATTGAAACCAATTTATATGAATTTAAATTGAATGCTAATTTTTTTCAATAAAGGGCACCTGTCAGAGAAATCTGTACACACATTTTACATCTGATTAATTAAAGGATAAATCTCTTGAAATTGCCAATACATCATACGCTATATCACAGTCCTCACCAAACGTTTCCTATCGAAAGTCCCTTTTGAAGTCTAAACATTATACGCTAGATTACAGTATTCTCGAAAAGTTTGGCATTCGAAATTCCCTTTTGGAAACAAGTATTTAGCTGGTTAATGTTTTGCGATTAAACAAAAGTCCTTCCGACTAAATGATTGAAGGGTGCAACGAAGACTAAGCCACACATCATCCGATAAGACTTCTAATTTTCCAAACGTAAAGGGTGGGTGTAACCCATAGAGTCTGAGGCTCGGCTTATTCTGTGCCGAAGTGGAATTTATCTAGGCTTGGAACCTGGACTAGGTTATTGGGCAACGGGCATGATAAAGTTGTAACAAGAAATACTCTAACCTGGTCAAGATTAAAAAAGCTGTTTATGGTTAAGAATATTGAATATTGAAGTTAAGTGCTATTTTGAAGATAATAGTTTAATTGATCTAGTTCTCTCTTAGAATCTAGGGTTGCATAATGTTTTACTGGTCACAAAAAAAATCTGAAAAATGCTCACCTTACTCGGATACGGGAAAGGGCTTAAACATGAGTTAGAGGCGTATGCTTTTCGCTTCCGCCGAACTACATCCTTATAATTGAGTGGGTCCGCTTCAATAAGTAGTCCCTCCCAATGCCGTTCTCGTTCAAAATACAAAGAATTTGACCTCCCTTCGCCATCCAAGGCACCGCATTCGACAAAGAAGCCCCTTTCCTGAAAAGTAGAACATTTGATTAGCATCTGCTTGGACAGGTACATGTAGATCCAGTTTTCGACTTTTAGTTGGCATATCAAGCCCGTATTCAGGGGGGGTTCGCAGGGTTCGCAGTTTTTCACCATTTTGAGCACTTCTCAAGTGATTTTTGCCATATTTGGGACAAAATTGTCAAATGTGAACCCCCCTGGAAATTTTTGAAAATTGACACCCCCCCCCCCCCCCCCCCTTGGCAAATCCTGGCTACGGGCCTGCATATGAAAGTCTGAAACAAAGTTCGGAAAACCCTTCCCTGAAAAGTATTATACAGGGTGAGCCAAAAAAGGTAACCCAAATAAATGTTAATAAATAAGTCATCCGGCATGGGTTTACCGTATATTTGGGAGTGTTCGATGCTTCTTGAGATAATACTTGTTATCGCCCTCCCATTTTTACTTACAACATCTGGCAACAGTTTCTCGGCGAGTCCACTTTGTCCACGGGAAAAATCTCGATGTGAGGGTCCATCTAAGTCATAGGGTTGATAGGACGGAAGATCTATGCGAGATTGAGCAATATAGCGGATCAAGACAGGGTCGTCTTGGGCGGTCGTTTCTTTAAATAGGCCGTCGATTTCTTCTTGTGACAGGGCTGAAAAGTAAAAACATTATTTACATATTGGACTTTGAAATAAAAGAATATCAATCATCCATTCCAAAAGCCAACCTGAATGTTGACCTAATTTTGACCGAAGATGGCCGAAGTTGTTTGTACTGCAACCGGAGATGACCGAAAATCCTTGTACCACAACCGAGGCAAGCCGAAGTTGCTCATACCGCATCCGAAGATAGCCAAAGATCCTTGTACAACAGCTAAAGAGGCCGAAGTGGCTCATACCGCAACCGAAGATAGCCAAAGATCCTTGTACAACAGCTGAAGAGGCCGAAGTGGCTCATACCGCAACCGAAGATAGCCAAAGATCCTTGTACAACAGCTAAAGAGGCCGAAGTGGCTCATACCGCAACCGAAGATAGCCGAAGATCCTTGTACAACAGCTGAAGAGGCCGAAGTGGCTCATACCGCATCCGAAGATAGCCAAAGATCCTTGTACAACAGCTAAAGAGGCCGAAGTGGCTCATACCGCAACCGAAGATAGCCAAAGATCCTTGTACAACAGCTGAAGAGGCCGAAGTGGCTCATACCGCAACCGAAGATAGCCGAAGATCCTTGTACAACAGCTGAAGAGGCCGAAGTGGCTCATACCGCAACCGAAGATAGCCGAAGATCCTTTTACAGAAGCTGAAGAGGCCGAAGTGGCTCATACCGCAACCGAAGATAGCCGAAGATCCTTTTACAGAAGCTGAAGAGGCCGAAGTGGCTCATACCGCAACCGAAGATAGCCGAAGATCCTTTTACAGAAGCTGAAGAGGCCGAAGTGGCTCATACCGCAACCGAAGATAGCCGAAGATCCTTGTACAACAGCTAAAGAGGCCGAAGTGGCTCATACTGCAACCGAAGATAGCCAAAGATCCTTGTACAACAGCTGAAGAGGCCGAAGTGGCTCATACCGCAACCGAAGATAGCCGAAGATCCTTTTACAGAAGCTGAAGAGGCCGAAGTGGCTCATACCGCAACCGAAGATAGCCGAAGATCCTTGTACAACAGCTGAAGAGGCCGAAGTGGCTCATACCGCAACCGAAGATAGCCGAAGATCCTTGTACAACAGCTGAAGAGGCCGAAGTGGCTCATACCGCAACCGAAGATAGCCGAAGATCCTTGTACAACAGCTGAAGAGGCCGAAGTGGCTCATACCGCAACCGAATATAGCCGAAGATCCTTGTACAACAGCTGAAGAGGCCGAAGTGGCTCATACCGCAACCGAAGATAGCCGAAGATCCTTGTACAACAGCTGAAGAGGCCGAAGTGGCTCATACCGCAACCGAAGATAGCCGAAGATCCTTGTACAACAGCTGAAGAGGCCGAAGTGGCTCATACCGCAACCGAAGATAGCCGAAGATCCTTGTACAACAGCTGAAGAGGCCGAAGTGGCTCATACCGCAACCGAAGATAGCCGAAGATCCTTGTACAACAGCTGAAGAGGCCGAAGTGGCTCATACCGCAACCGAAGATAGCCGAAGATCCTTGTACAACAGCTGAAGAGGCCGAAGTGGCTCATACCGCAACCGAAGATAGCCGAAGATCCTTGTACAACAGCTGAAGAGGCCGAAGTGGCTCATACCGCAACCGAAGATAGCCGAAGATCCTTGTACAACAGCTGAAGAGGCCGAAGTGGCTCATACCGCAACCGAAGATAGCCGAAGATCCTTGTACAACAGCTGAAGAGGCCGAAGTGGCTCATACCGCAACCGAAGATAGCCGAAGATCCTTGTACAACAGCTGAAGAGGCCGAAATGGCTCATACCGCAACCGAAGATAGCCGAAGATCCTTTTACAGAAGCTGAAGAGGCCGAAGTGGCTCATACCGCAACCGAAGATAGCCGAAGATCCTTTTACAGAAGCTGAAGAGGCCGAAGTGGCTCATACCGCAACCGAAGATAGCCGAAGATCCTTTTACAGAAGCTGAAGAGGCCGAAGTGGCTCATACCGCAACCGAAGATAGCCGAAGATCCTTTTACAGAAGCTGAAGAGGCCGAAGTGGCTCATACCGCAACCGAAGATAGCCGAAGATCCTTGTACAACAGCTGAAGAGGCCGAAGTGGCTCATACCGCAACCGAAGATAGCCGAAGATCCTTTTACAGAAGCTGAAGAGGCCGAAGTGGCTCATACCACAACCGAAGATGCTTCAAGAAAATTGTTTGGTTCAATAGTACCATCCACCTGATCTAAACATCCGGATAAATATCTTCGGTTGCTATGCTCTGTGTTCTCCAATCACTGTTTTACTATCCTCCGAACGCAAGGCTCCAGACATAATCCACTCCGTTCCTACCTTCTCTCTACTCCAAATGCAGGACTCCCGACATCATACACTCTTTTTCTCCATTGCCATTCTCCAAATGCAGGGCTCTAGACATCATAAACTCCGTTCCTCCTACCTTATCTCTTCTCCAAGGGGATGACTGGTGTTGTCTGGAGTCCTACATTCGAAGGATGCTGTTTTTTCTTGTTTCATACAATAGGATGTGGTCCCCGGGATGTGGTCCAAAAGATGAGTCGATGTTGACACAATTTTATTTATCGCTCCAAGTATTCAAGAGGTTAGAACAAGGGAGGTTCAGCTACACGTTTTAAAAAAATGTTATGAACTTGTAATTGAATTATATTGTATATTTTGTATATCTTTATTGTCAATAACAAAATGGAAATGAATGTACAAATTATAGTAAAAGTATATACATGTAAGCCAAAGCTTGTATCCCTTTTAAAGAAATACAGGCTACATGTACAGTATGGGGATGGGGTAGTGTGAAATGTAGGGAAGAACTAATCGCAAGCAGACCGGAGTTTTACATATACGAACTGTACACCTATATTGTTTTACAAGACAGTATCTATCCATTCCACGATTGATTCCGTGTCAGAGCATGATGATGAAATTACAATTCGCCTATGTTTAAAAGGCTAGCCATCTTCATACTTCTTACTTTTCAAAATCTATATATTCAATTTTGTTTGGAAAATATCGTTTTTCACAAAAGAACATCATCATAGCACGCTATATAGACCCAACTGAACGTTAGAGGATGCTTTGTTAGGCAAGGGAGGTGAATAACATTTTCTTGAGCGGGATTGGAAGGTGAATACGATTTTCGTGATCGGGATTGGGCGAGAAAAAACGATTTCTTTCCAATATCAAAAAATATTCTTGGGTTTTATTCACCTGGAAGTAGGTTAGTAGTATCATGGGATAAATAGAGGATGTTCTTTTTATTCCATAGTTAAAGTCATCATCAGAATCGTCGGAAATTAAGTTATTTAATTCAAATTTTCCAAACAATCCGGCGATGTTGCCACTTAGCCTCGTTTTGAGTCTGAAGTAGCAAAAATCCATAAACCATCGCATACATACATCGCATACATACATCAAATGACAAGATATTTAACATTTTCGTAATATTCTTTTTGTTCAATACAATGAAATTGTAACATTTAAACTTAAAAAAATTAAATTTTAAAATTAAAAAATTAAAACTTTTGATATTTAAACTTTTTTAAACTTTTGAAAAATTTCCGGGAGCGGGATGGATATATTATATCTGCCCGCATTTGGCCTGGAGCGGGACATATACAATATATCCTGCCCGCTCCTCAGATACGATATATATTCCAGGGTGATATCTACCCCAAACCCACTCAAGTATGAGATACGGCGCCGTATGTCATGGCTAAAAAACCGTATGCTATGGTTAAGTGAAAATTTGTCAAAAATATCATATTTTACCACTGATTACAAAAATACCGTTTTAATTTTCACATGTTATCCTATGAATATCTAGCTAACTATGGAATAAATCAGAGTTTGTCCTCAAAGAAAACATTGCATCTCATATTATGATGAATAAATAAATAATTAAAAAAATAAATACTGGTCACAGAAAACCTGGCTCATGTCATCTTCGACTTTTAAGGTGGTTGAAATACCGAAACTTTGTGAATTAAGAATCAAATATCAGCATCGTGAGAATATGCCATTTCTAGTATTTGGATGTCTAATTAGCGACCATCAGTCAATCGATCAATATAGCGCCAGTAAATCAAATATCAGGGCCCATTAAAACCCTTGCTGTATTGGTAGATTGGTGTACATTCAAAGTTATCTGTTTACAAACGTTTATTGTTTACTTCTAGGTTTTGTGACATGGCACTATTCTCTATTCTACGCCCCCCCCCCCCCCCTCCCTGTTTCATTTGTATTTTCTACTTATTTTTTATTGAATATCCGACCCACTATCTTTATATACAATACAATACTGGGCAAGGCGTTCAGAAAAAGGTCGTTTTGCCCGGGGATGTACGCATTACCCGTTTTTAAAATTACCATTACCACATCATATCCAACCCTAAAACTAATTGAATTTATATTATTTTTTATATAATACATTTACAAAAAGCCAAAGTTGGTACATGGTATAAGTTGGAATTTTATATTATTAGAGAGATCTCGCACATAAGTGAAAGTACAACTTATACGTATACGTATAGTTTAAAGGGTCATGTCGAACTATTATATTTACTAAAATCAATTTTAAATTGTACTTAATGGAACATGACTATTCCCGATACAGAAAAGCCCCATCAACTAGAGACTGTGAATGCACTGTCATCTGCATGTGTAGATTATGCACATTATAATTAAATGCCTGCTTCCGTGTCCTAGTAGTTGTAGTGTATTCTAAACACGATCCTTTAAAGTGAGTCATGATCCTTTCAAGTGAGTCATTAAATAAACAAGTTGATTATTTCAAAGTTTTCATGATCAGTATAAGTTAAATGAACTTACAAAATTGTATATACACGTAGATGATAAACGTATACAGTTGGATCTACGTATAAAGCTTTACCTACATGTGTGTGGAACAATTGACCGCAAGCATTTTCTAAATTAATCGGCTGGGTATCCAATCAAATACTATAACCATCAATTTGAAACACCAATCAAACCAGTAGGTTCTAGCAATTCCTGGAAACG